TCTACGTAGCTCATGATAATTAAAAGTACCAGACTGGTAAAACTAACCTTCTTGGATGCTTAACAGCCATAGTTCGAGGCCTATACTAATCTGGTCAGAGGGACTTAAAGGACAGTTTTTGCCCCTTGCCCTCCAAGGTCGACTAAGTTCCAGTGGACTATGGAACATCTCTCAAAATGTCCTGTTAACTGTGGTGCGTTACCTGTCCTCTCGTTCAGGGAGGCCATTGAAACACCATGAGATAGACTTGAACTAGTGTCCAGTCTACAAAGAGGAGGGTCAACTCAGAGGAAGCATCTCATCCATGCTTCCAAGTGAAGCCATATATGGTCAAGCAAGACCTTTGACTTATCTTCACATAGATGGAACTGGTAAAAGAAAGGAGCCAGGGGCTCCTCCCAAGCCCATGTTACCCCTGAGGAACAGATCCTCAAATGACCTTAAGTATAACATAAATTGATTTATTTGGGCCAACTGTATGGTCTTAAATACCCAAAAGGAAAGTATAACCAAAGAGTAAAGTGATGAGTATAGTTCTTTAAGAGTTCAAGGGATTTACACTCGACCCAGACATTAGTCTTAAGTCCATATAATTTTTTTTGCTATCAACTATCAAAATGCCTGAAAGCAAATCCTGAATCCATCACTCTTGAGTCCAGCCTTGGCAGACAAAAGAAAAACGAGGAGAAACCCAATAGAGGGATGCTTTTGTAAGCTCTTGTCAAGAAATCCCAATGGACTCTGATATGAACACTTGAAATTTGCCCTGTTTTGACTTTTTTCTAGTTCTCTGTCTAGAACTTGTAATGCTAACTAGTCTCACCTTTACTAATCCTGAATCCATCACTCTTGAGTCCAGCCTTGGCAGACAAAAGAAAAACGAGGAGAAACCCAATAGAGGGATGCTTTTGTAAGCTCTTGTCAAGAAATCCCAATGGACTCTGATATGAACACTTGAAATTTGCCCTGTTTTGACTTTTTTCTAGTTCTCTGTCTAGAACTTGTAATGCTAACTAGTCTCACCTTTACTTCTCCTTCACATCCCATATTCACCAGTCAAGGACTTTCATTTCTCCCTATAGATAATAAGAGTTATGCAATTTGGGAGTCTTTTAGATAGACCCACTGAAGGGATACCCTAATTGCCTCACCATGTGTCCCTGGTTCAGCATGGAAGAAGCCACAGAGGTCTGCGTCCCAATTCCATATCAGCAATTTGGGTAACCTCTTCAGAGGATGGTATAATAAGAATAGGAGGGAAGTGAGTGTATAGTTGAATAAGATGGTTTGGGATGTTCTGTGTGATACACACACACACAAAAAAAATTCAACAAATAAAAAAATGTATTATATTTGAGGAGGAAGCATGGAAATTTATGTCATGCTAATTAGTAGAG